GTGGGATTTTTAGGGTGAAATACCTGTGGCACTAAAGGTTGTCCATTCCTAATGCAGAGAATGTCAGGATGCATCAGTGAAGAGCATCAGCCATAAAGATAATGTTTTAAATTTAATCAATAATTTCTCCTCCAAATTATTTTAAGGGTGTAACCATCTTTATGATTCTAACAAAAAGTAAAACAGTGACACTGAACAGGAGTTCAATCTGAATATTCAAAATGTTTCAGATGCCTTGTCATTCACATCCCTGAAGCAACCAGATGCTGCTGCTCAACCAGATGAGGATGGCCTATAGATATGTTGAGACAGTAGCCCACTAGGCTGTAGAAACTTAATCCAGCACTCTCAGTTTGGCTTTCATAGAGGAGGTACTGCACCTAAGATCTATGCCAGGTATTTACAAGAATGGAAAGACAGCTGGAGATTAAGGAACATTCTCTGATAACTTCTGAGCTTACTATAAAATGTTTTGCGTCTGTTAGGGTTATTTTTATTTTTATCTTGAATTAACGAAGAAGTTGATGCTTCTACTGTATACTCAAAAAGCAAAAACGAAAGAGATTGCAGGAGTATTTATTTTTGCACGTGTCCTTCCCAACCATTAGAAGAGTGCTTTCCAACTTACCTTATTTTTAACAAGCATCCTGTGCCTTTTTTCAAAAATGCAGGTGGCCCAATTGATCGTCGCAGGGGGAAATGATAAATATGCTAACTAGCCTGGGTAATAATCAACTGCAGACAAGTCCAGCAGATTTAAAACCGAACTCTAAAGCAGGGGAAGGGAGTATTCTCTGACCCTTGTAAAATTTCATTAAACAGTACACTCTGAGTCATCTGAGCCCAGCACGTTTGCAGGAATTCCTCTCCTTTTCTTTTTCTCCCTTTTTCTCTCCAGCCGTAGCCATGTTCCCACCCGCTTCACAAACACCAGTTCCTGTAAGTGCCGACACAGAGTCAAAATGTCATGCCACCCGTAAGCAGGGGCCGGGTGGGGAGCAGGGAAGATGCAGGAGGATTCCTGTGGGAGCTGTGTGCTTTGGAAAGGAGCCAAGATGCCCAGGGAGTTTCAGCCTGGAGGAATGGGGTTTTTATTTAGCCCTCCCGGCATTCAAGCCTTGCTTTTGCTCTTTGGAAGTACGGATTATGGATGAATAAGCATAAAGATATCTAGGCAACATTTAAAAAAAAACACCACCCTCTCTCACACACAGTACTTCACCATATCCAGTCTCTTACCACCTTACCGGCTTTGTGTTCTATAAGAGGGTGTTGTTTACCCAGTAGCTGAGCTGCTTTTCTGATTGTGTATACCCCCCTAGACACAAACATTCACTCTTTTTTAGAACAGCTCTATGGGGACAGAAGTTGTCCCTTCTTCTGGAATCTTTCTTGGTTGTTCATTCTTGAAGCTGCTATTCTTGGTTGATGTTATTGCTTTGTCTTTTAATGACAACCCAGAAGGTGATTTTATACAAAGCCCTGACCATGCATTCACCTGGCAGGACAAAGTTCCAAATAGTGTAGTCCTAGAACGAGCTGGAATTTTTAGCATGTATACATTACTGAAACAGCGACGTCTGTGTTGGCTTGGGCATGTCGTGAGAATGGCTGATGGTCGGATTCCAAAAGATCTCCTGTACAGAGAATTAGTGCAGGAAAATCGCCCCAGAGGGAGACTACAGCTGTGATACAAGGACGTCTGCAAGTGGGATCTGAAGGCTTTAGGAATAGACCTCAACAGATGGGAAACCCTGACGTCTGAGCATTCAGCCTGGAGGCAGGTGGTGCAGCGTGGCCTCTCCCATTTTGAAGAGACCCTTGTTCAGCAGGCCGAGGCAAAGAGGCAGTTCTGAAACCAGCCAAATCAGGGAGCTGGACGGGGGACAGATTGTAATTGTCTTCAGTGTGGAAGGGATTGTCACTCTTGAATTGGCCTCCTCAGCCACACTAGGCGCTGTTCCAAGTCCTCCATAAAGAGCATGTTACCATAGTCTCTCAAGACTGAAGAATGCCTAAAAAAATATATGTATAGGCTGATCCATGGGGGCACCAAAATGTGTGGTTGAGTGTCCACCTGTAACTCTATAAAGCAACAAGGGTGCTGAGTAAATGACATTTGGGTGGAGTTCATCTCATCTGGGCCAAATGAAGTGATTTTTTTACAGAGATTTGCTACTGTGCTTAGTGTCACAGTGTACCATGCTAAGCAGTGGTTTCTGGAAAACGCCTCAGACGGTGGATGCACTATCAGCTCTGGAAATTACAAGAACAGGGTATTTCTAACATACTTGGGCTGAGTTTGGAATACTTACTTTTTAGACACCTCAGATCTCTCAGTGACCACCGTTGCTGAAATGAAGAAGAAATGCCCCCTTGTTCTATGTGAGAGGGAGTCACATGTCTTTGGTGGTGAGAATTTGATTCAACAATATACTGTACATAATGTCAATTTGGTCCTATAATTACAGGACCAAATTCACATTATGTATATTGTAAGTCAGCCTCTTAGGATTCATATCTATTATGTCATTCTCTTGCTGGACAGAAGCCACTGGTGGTGATTAACATATTAATTAAAATCTTGATCATGTGATGAAAAATGTTTAGGAAATGTTGAGGACATTTGTACTCATTTTTTAAACTTTAATATATTTTTAACTTTTAAATTTAATACAATTCCTGTCATTATTTGCTATCTGCTGAGAAATATAAATTTCTATTTTTTCCTCAAGCAGGAAGAGTAGACAGGGTTTCTCCCCATTTACCTCTTTCTCCCCATTTTCCATTTAGATGGAACACAAGGAGGGACTATGGTTTACATGTAAAAGTAACTTTCTCTTAACAGTCTATAAATGCTGTCATTAAAGCTCTCTGTTTTCTCTTCTACTATCAGTGTTTTGTTTTAGTATCAAAGCTGGACTCTGTGTAACATTAGCCTGATTGGATTTTAATGCATGTACAAATGGGACCTAGAACAAAAGGCTGCAGTACAACCCTATTCATGATGCCAGCTTGTCAGTCTGCAAACCCTCTTACCAAGCTTGCCACTTTCATCATACCACCCCAGTTTTCTTTTCCAGCTAATATTCAGCATTCCATGGAAACCACTGGTCTGTTTTGGATGTTTTTCTTACCCACTTAGTTTTCTTTTTAAAATATTTTGTTGTCCTTTTATAAACTTTGGAGTTTCCTGAAGTATATTTATGCTATGCCTTCCCCCACCCCCCAAGTAGGGCAATGTTGGTAAATTTTTTAAAGGAGTATGCATCATATATTATTCCAGCACTATAGAAAAACGACTGGAACGATGGCAGCAGATTAGAATACTTGTTCCTGAACACAGTGATAGAGGAATTAATGTCTGAGTAGTATTAGAAAATCAATAGGGAGGGGAAATTCCCCATCACATCTTAAGTATTATTAGATATATTAAATCTGTGTGTAGTCTTCCTTAACAACAGCCTTCAAATGTTAGTTTCACAATAGAACTATGATATCAGAATCGGGCTGCTTGGATATGTTTGCCTTGTATAGACTGTTGTGCCCAAATATTTCTATTCCTCTTTTTTTTTCAAAGCATGCAGGGCAAATCTTGAAAATAATTCTGTAGTCATTATAAATAATACAAAGCAAATAAAATCATGTGTCAGAACAAGGTTTTTCCGTCTGCACACTCTTGTACCTGCCATTAGCACTGAAAAAACACACATCAAAAATGAAAAGTCACACAGTACTTTCCTGTCTCAAGGAACTGCATATTATAAGGAATCTGGAGAGAATGCAGATACTCTCGCATGGATTTTATGCAGCTATGCAATGATAAAAAGTGCTCGTTTTTGATGTAACCAATCATGATGGATCCATCTTTTTCAGTCATAGAGGCATGGCCATGTTCTTGTATATAGTCATACTCCTGTTTATGGATGTTAAATCAGGTCCAACTTTTACATAGAAGAGTTCACTGGGCCAAAGGCCTGTGGACATGTAGACTGAAATGGCCTACAGATATATGACCTGTGGAATGGCATTGGGGAGATCTTTGGCTTGTTTCATAAACAGCATTTCTGACTATTTCCGATTGGCAATTATGGGTGTTAAATCAGGTCCAACTTTTACATAGAAGAGTTCACTGGGCCAAAGGCCTGTGGACATGTAGACTGAAATGGCCTACAGATATATGACCTGTGGAATGGCATTGGGGAGATCTTTGGCTTGTTTCATAAACAGCATTTCTGACTATTTCCTATTGGCAAAAAGGGCTGTGAGATGGAATGAGCAGAAATGTCAATTACATGATTCCTTTGATTTTGAGAGAAGCTTAAGTTTTCACAATGAGTTAGACTACTCCTTCTGGGAGATTCTATACCTCCTTTACTGCCTTCTTTCATTCATTCCTTACAAACACAAGATAGCTATAGGTCTTTCTTTCTCCATCTTTAGGCTAAACAGCTGGAACAGTGTGAGCTTCAGCTAGCGGACTGGTGGAAGATTAGGGGGCAAATATAATGTTTTTTAAAAGGCTAACTGGCTAATTTTCCAAAATTGTAATTCCTTTCAATACTTTAATACAGGTTCTGTTCTGCACTTTTAATTTCACCACTGCATAGTATTTTGTTAGAGCTTTGTTGAATTGTCCTTTGATTTCTTTTATATTGTGCCTTCATTTTGTGGATCTTATTCCCTATTTATCTGTTGCAATTTAAATAAATCTTCAAATTAATTGCACATCTCTAGATAGCCTCAGATTATCTCAGGTTACACCATTTGCCCACTGGGACAAATAAAGTATCTCATTTTCAGTGGGGCTTATTGATTTCATTACATGTATGATACAATATGATTCCTTCCTTCCTCCTTGAGCTTTCTAATTCTTTTGCAAAGCCATTTCAGCTGCGTTCATGCTGCGCAGGATGATTTAAGCTACAAAATGAAGTTATTCCTGAAGTGACTTACATTAAGCTATGTTTTCTTTTTCTTTTTTTCTTTTTTAATTTCAGAACTCCATTAGGCACAACCTCTCCTTGAACAAGTGCTTCATCAAGGTGCCACGAGAGAAGGATGAACCAGGAAAAGGTGGCTTCTGGAAGATTGATCCTCAGTATGCAGATAGATTGATGAATGGCGCATTCAAGAAGCGCAGGATGCCTCCGGTGCAGATCCATCCAGCCTTCACTGGGCGAATCCAACAGGATGGCTGCTCCAGTTCTTCTGCTCAACAGGCTGCAACCTCTTGGAAAAGCAATGGCATCCTAAAAATCAATATGGAGTCTCAGCAGCTACTCAAAGAGTTTGAAGAAGTCACGAGCAATGACCAAAACTGGAACCCAACTGTGGATGGGAAAATGAGCCATAAACGTAAGCAGCCTTTGCCAAAACGGATGTACAAGACAGCCCGCCTCTCCAGCTCCCCCATGCTGACACAGGAAGAGCAGACAGAACTTGGGTCTCTCAAAGGTGACTTTGACTGGGAAGCTATCTTTGACACCACTTTAAATGCTGACTTCTCCAGCTTTGAAGATTTGGAAATCACACCTCCCATTAGCCCAATAACCAGGGATGTAGATTTGACTGTGCATGGAAGACATATTGGTTGCCCACATGAATGGTGCCCAGCTGGGCAGGATTATGTTTTAACAGAGTCCAACCAGAACAGCCTAGACTTTGATGAAACCTTCATTGCTACTTCTTTCCTCCAGCATCCCTGGGATGAAGGGAGAAACGATTACCTCTCGGGTTCTGGCAACATGGATCCACTGTTTGAACTCAATGACCCTACGTTGCAGACAGAAATGAATGAGTGGAATGATGCTGGTCGCCTTTAATATGAGAGAGAACTCAAGCTGGAAGGCTCAAGATCATTGTAGACTTACCAGCTCTGCAAGCAAGATGCTCCCAGTTCTGAAAGACTTTGCAAAGCAAAAGAATCCTATAACAAATGAGATTTTTTATTGTGAGGACCAAGTGAATCACAGAGGTGTCCAGGGTGGTAAAAGATCTGTAGAGTCTGGCTGACTGTATCTAAATGCAACTTATATGGGGAACTCTGTACCCCAAAAGATAACAATTAATAATACAGTACTTATTTTTGTGTACTTTTAAAGAAATATGGATTTTTCTACTGGGGTGGTGGTGGAGGAATTTGGAAAAGTCTCGTCTTCCTTGGAGGGAAGGAGAGGTGAAGACGTCTGGGGGGAAAAGGAGGAAGAACTGACCTTGTCTTGCAAACAGCAAGAACATGTTAGATCTTCTGCAATTTTTGTTCCTTCTTCTGTCCATTATTTCACCCTGTGTATTGTGTGAGTGTGTTTGTATACATTTGCCCAGAGAAAATTTCTGTGTAAAATGTGAGACAATTAAGTAGCTGACAGGTATAATTTCCACCTGTATTTTGGGAATTTCAGCCACCTGTCTACACTAGGACTAGTTTAGAAGGTGAAGTCTATATACTTTCAAGATCTTCCAGGCTTTTAAAATACAGCCTACTACATATCTATAACAAAACCTATATTTTTAGCTAAAGGGCACAATCAGTAGTGTACTGGGAATGAGGATTGTAATAATGTTAATTAAGCCTTAAGTGTATCAAGTGTTTGTTATACAGAAGGAAATGTAATGAAATATGCAAGTGGGAATTCCTGCCAGTAGAGGATTTAAATGAAAGATCCATAAATGGGGGCCTGATGTTCTCCAGAAGGTCCTTTTTACTTATTTTTGTATTTCAAATTCTTTATACTTTTACAATCTTGACTGAATGTGTATGCTGTAAAACCTGGACATGAAGTCATGGCAGGCAGATCCTCTAAAGATATGGATTACTAACAAAATACTGTATTGTTACCTAACCAGAAGACATGAAGGAATTTGTATGTTCACATGAGACTCTGACAAGTCAGCTGAAAAAAATCAACAACAGCTGACTTTGATTATGAAGGGCTATATATTTTTCTTTTCTTTGGTCAAGGAACTGTCAAATTGCTGAAATTTTTCTCTGCTTTAGTTGACACATTCTTAGATGTGATGCCACTGTCAGCCAGTGGCAATTGGGTGTTAGTTTGATTCAAACAAAACAGCTCCTAATGTTCATGTTCTTCTATGGTTCTAGACTTAAGTGGACGGACCAAAGACTGTACATGCAGTGAAAGCTGCAAATGAAAGAAGGAGTCTAAAGCTTCAGTTTGCCTCAATGCCCTGTTGTTGTTTTTTTACTCTAGAACTAAGGTGGACACCCAACTAGGTATTGTTAGCCCAGAGCCAATATTCATCTTAACATTTGCATGCATTTAAATAAAACAAAATATGCTCAATTCCAATAGTCATTAAAGTCATTAAACCTTGTTTGAAACATGGTGGTAATGCATATATATTGCCTTTTTAAAATGCCGTATGATAGTTCTATGGAGAGTGTAGCTTTCTACTGAAGGGGTGGGGACCCTTTGGCCTTCCAGATGTTCTTGCCTTTGCCTTCTGGAAGCCTCAGCCAGCAGGATTAATGGTAATCATTTATGAGAGTTATAGACCAAGCATCTGGAGGACTAGGGTCCCCTGCCCTACTATCTCTATCTAGGAGATGAAGAAACGAATGGGGATTTTACAGTACACACACAATCTCTCTCTCCCTCTCTGTTAATTTTCTATATGCCCATAAGCAGGCACACACAGTCACTGCTTTATGAATTTTGAAATGTTAACGCAACTCTTAATCAGACTACCTAACCATTTTATGGCGTGGGGAGGTCATGTCCCCATAACAAATGTTTAGACAGTGTATTTCTCTGGGACAGATAATAATTATTGGTTTATGATAAATGTTTCTGTGTAATGTCTGTCCACAACAACAGTAAAAGGTACATTCTGGAAATTACCTGAAGGAAGGAACTATGCTCTCAGAGCAATAATTTGATTTAGAGATTGCTATATCCCCTGCTACATTCTACATGTTTACAATTATAAAAATAAACCATATCATGGATTAAAAACAACTCCCCAGAAAAGAGAACAGAAATCTAATTCCTTGCTTTATGTCAACAATATTTGTGTTGTGCTCACATCAGTGCACAAGGAGATATGCAATGACAAATTATTGATATTTCATTGCACTTTTGGTTTACCATATATTTACAATAGTCCTCACATCACCCGTCCACAGTAGACAGTTTATTCATTTCTTTAACTAGATAAGGGACTGAAGGTTTTCTGAATTATCTGAGGTGGTAGAGTGAGGGGGTGTATGTGATGAGCAAATGTGCAAAAAAAATTGCATATGACTGATTTGTTGCACAGTCTTGACACATTTTCTTTCAAGGCTGCACTTCTGAAATCTTTTATATGTCTAAGAACATGATTTCAAATTTTATGTTTTTGTCTACAGGCATTATCCCAAATGTAATGCTTTCTTCAGGTTCCCCTTGACACTTTAGTCCAGTCGTGTCTGACTCTAGGGCGCAGTGCTCATCCTCGTCTCCAAGCCATAGAGCCAGCCTTTGTCCGTAGACCATTTCCGTGGTCACGTGGCCAGCGCAACTAGACACGGAACACTGTTACCTTCCCACCATAGTGGTATCTCTATTTATCTACTTGCATTTACATGCTTTCAAACGGCTAGGTTGGCAGGAGCTGGGACAAGTGACAGGAGCTCACTCCATTGCGTGGATTCAATCTCATGATGGTTGGTCTTCTGACTTTGCAGCGCAGAGGCTTCTGTGCTTTAACCTGTAGCACCACCACGTCCCTTGCTTTCTTCAGAGTGCATAGCTAATCTGGAAATTGATGGCCAAATAGTAGCCTATGAACTACTGTACATCTAATGTCTAAGATGATTTTATGGGCATCTCCAAGAGTCTGTACGGCATTCTGGCCTAAAGTACTTGAGCAGCATGACGTAAGTCCTACAGTTTGCAACATACCCACCCTTATTTTCTTCCTGAAGCAATTAGGAAATAATTAGAGAAATAAACCACACCTGAATACAGAGTTTCCACCCTACCAAGAGTTTTCACCCTACCAGGGAAATAGCTATTGGGCCACATACGTATCTCTCCTTCAGTGCAGGATTGACAAATGAACTGCTGCCACCTGCCCCAATGTGATATTTGGGTCCTAAGGTATATTTTGGTCCAGCAGGCTTAAGCAGTTGGTCAACTCAAGTCTAAAATACATTGCCTTTCAGTGTCTGAAGAACATCCACATAGTACTCTGGAGATATTTACATGCACACATATACTGCAGAAAAGTTGTAAGTACACCTGAGTGCATTGAAAAGCACAGTACTGAGGGACAAACTGTATCTGTACTTCATAAGAATCTGGGGTGAGCACGTATGAAAAATCAACAGAGTTTCCTGAAACAGGAGAGGGTTGAGCTTTCTTATTTGTAGTGGAAGTGCAAAAGAGTATTGGAGAAACACTTGGATTACCAAAACATAACAGGGAAACCAACTGACCTGGCATTCAAGTTAGAGCAATTTAGATTCTAGCCAACTGCTCTGTTTCTTCTGGAAAGGTAATTCATTTTCACTAATTGGAATACTGAATTGTTAATATTATAATTTTGGAGTGTTGTTAGGTGAATGAAAAATAGCAAGCTTCTGTTGTTTGTGTTAGCAAGAATATTTGAAGCTTTAATCATGTACCTTTTCTTTTTGCGTGTTTACTGAACAATAAAAAATGGGTAACTACTGAGAAAGAAAGTATATTACATGATGGAAAAGCACAGACGTCAAAATGAAAGGCCAATGGGGACTTTTGTGCAAAATTAACCAGATATTGAATCTTTGTAACAAATTACAGAGGAATAGTATGCCATTTTAAAAACTGGAAACATTGTACAGTAATTCAGGACGTTCAGATTTGAAATTCACCACTTAATTGGCATGATCCATAGAGAAGTGAGTATTTTTGAACCCTACTAATTTTCATAGAAGAGTTGGGCATGAGCTTAAAATAATGGAAAATCGAGATCCAAACCAAATAGAGTTTGACTTTGTCCTAACCATTATTTTTGTTCTTTGGGAACTGGAAGTCATAATTATAATTCTTAAAAAACATAAATGCCAAAGGATTTTAAACTTAAATATACCTTTGCCTTTGAATATTCCAATTCAAAACCAAAATGCTTGCAAACTCCACCATTCAAATCAATGGGGGGTTTGATATTACATTCAGTAATCCACTCCCAGTGGGTTAGAAATCTGAGACCACTGCATAGTCTAAATCTGGATCTTCATTCAACTAGTTAAGTTCAGGTTTGTGCCATAAATATAGATTACTGCACCTTTTTCAACAAGTGTAGATCAGTGATGTTGGCTTGATTTTCTGGGTTGCCTGTTGCTGTGAAACTGCCCCATGGTTTTCTATATACAGGCAGATTCTGTAGCAGGTTATAATTCTCACAAACCATTTTATATATACAAGCCAAGGCTATCACAAAGTTACTGGCGGTCAAGTCAGACTTTGTGTTTTTCTTCTTAAAACAATTGTGTCTTTTCTGCTACATTTTTGTGTCATGGGGTGCATGTTTGTTTCTGGCTGAAGCAGAAAAACTGCAAAAGAAAATGCGTGTCAATTAACCTTTTTTAAATAAATGGAAAGCTGTTTGCTATTTTTTAAAAAATTAAATATTATAATAATGTCCTTTTCCACTGCATGTTATTTTTTGTTAGTGCCATGGACCTTTGGGTCATAAGAAGCCACATACACAGTATATAAGGCGTGGTTCAATATAATGTCCTGTTCCATAAACATAATCAACATGATTGGGGGATATAAGGCCTTCCATCTATTATTAGACTGTAACTCCTATCAGCTCTACCTAGCAAAGCAAAGATGTCCCCGCACCCACACATACATATCAACACACATGCACATAGAACATTAGTGCTCGCTCTCACACGTATACAACCAGGCAGCCACTACAAGACTTGGAAATGTGATTCTTTTGGATGCCAGCTTCCAGAAAACTCTAAGTAGTGTGGCCACGGCCGGCACAATCACTCTCACCTGGCCCCTCTGCCAAGCGCCAGAAGGAGGAGGGGGCACTAGCCACAAACTCACGATGTCTGCTGAGCCAAGAGTTTGCATTCTTTGCCTGCTTCCACAGCAGCAGCCCTGCTAACCAGACAAAACAGCATTTATTTGCCTCCATTGCATCCTTGGAATGTCATCTTGTGCCATGCTCCTGATCGTTTTAGGGCCTTTACAGCCTGGCCCACAGAAAGAGATAGAGGGCCCTTCCGATGCCTGCTGTGACATGCTTGCTAACTATGTCAGGGATAAGGGAGCTTCTATCTGCCTCAGCTGAGACACCACTGGTTTGTCCAAAGGAAGAGCTCAGACTTTCATCTGGCCATGTTTTATTTGGATCCATGTCACTGTTACAGTGTGATTCTGTCTACAGGATGTAGCCTGTTACTTGTTTCTCAGATCCATTCTCTTAATATTTGATAACGTGTAGAAGTGACTCAATACCAATGAAGAGCTTCTCCCCACTTCCTTCTTTTATCACCTTTTAAAACTGACTACATTGGTGACTATATGATTACAGGGGAAAGTCCCAAATATTACAAAATCTCTCAGGAAATTGCTTCAATTCCTTGCCTTCTTCTGTATCTTAGCCTAGTGCTATCCAAAGCTCGGCAACCATAAAAGTACGTAGCATTCAAATTGTATATTCAGACCATAGATTTATACAGAGGCATTGCAACACTGAAAACTTTATTTTCAATCTCTTTCATAATTATCTCTAATGTGGAATGTGCCTTTTTTTACAGCTGTCACACACCTGTAATTTTCATGAAGTTGTGAATGACAACTTCAAGCTCCCTTTTCTAGTCATAACTATCAGATGAGTATGTGTATCTGAAGTTAGGAATTTTTATAGATCTTGGAAAGTTACTTTGGAAAAGCAATTTTTAATGAAATAGCTTGTGAGGATTGTTGAGAATTAATTGTTCAAAACTAAGTGTATTCTTTGTTGCATTGCCAGCTCCTTTTCTGAAACTTTTTAATTCCCCTTCTTAAAAACTTCACCTGAAAAGACAAGAAATTCCCCCTGAATGAGCAGAAAACATTTCAGCCTGCAAAAGGTATAAATAAAATTATTTAATGAAAAATAAACATATCCTTTACATTGAGTTTTTTAAAAGTTCTATCCTTATCATCCCAAAATCTAGTGTATTACAGAGGAAGATGTCGTTCCAATGTGTTATTTTGAAGCTCTGCTTTTCTACCGCACTATCACTCAGTGCTCTCTTCTGCATCACCCAATTTGCATCATCCTGGGGGAGAATTTTAAAATGGCTCCCATTGAAAACCTGAAAGTTCATACAATGAAATGGTTTACTCTAGTTTCTTTGTCTCTGTGGGCTGGTCCCCACACTCTATTGTTCACCCTACCTCTGCATATGAAA